AAACTGATGAAGAGTTTAAAAGAATGGAATCTATTCCTTATGCTAATACTGTTGGGTCCATCATGTATCTTATGGTTTGCACCAGACCTGATCTAGCTCATGGCATAAGCATGTTAAGTAGATTTATGGCTAATCCTGGTGAGACACATTGTATTGCTACGAAATGGATGTTAAAATATTTGAAAGGCTCAACTGGCTTAGGGCTACTTTTTAAAAAATGTGATGAAGACATTGTTATGAAAGGCTAAACTGACTCTGATTTTGTTAGAGATTTAGATAAGAGAAGATCTACCTCTTCTTATGTTTCTACTTTGTGTGATGGTTGCATAAGTTGGAAATCTCAATTGCAAAAACTTGTTGCCTCGTCTTCTACAGAGGCAGAATACATAGCTGCATGTGATACTGTTAATGAAAGTCTTTGGTTAAGAGGGTCACTCAATGAAATTCGCTTTATAAATAATTCTGTCAAAATTTATACTGATAATCAAAGTGCTATACATTTGAGCAAAAATCTCATGTATCATGATCGAATTAAACATGTTGATATTAAGTTTCACTTTGTGAGGAACATGGCTGAAAAATGTTTGATCAGCTTAGAGAAAATTTCAACTGAGTTTAACCCCTCTGATTTGGGAACCAAAGTTTTACCTTTAAATAAATTTAGAAATTGTTTGAATACTCTAAACATTACTGATCTGCAATAATCTTTAGAATAATCAAATAGGACTGTGTGGGAATGAATTTTAACTTTTCTGTTTTTTATTTTTACAGGTTAAATAAAAGCAAATGAAACGTATTGACTCTCTAGTACACTAAGTCACCAAGAATTATTCAGCAAGGTAGATATTGTTATGTTTTGGGCTGGCTCATAATTCTTTAGCCCAATTGATTGTGTTTGGCCAGTGCTGTACCTGATTCTTTGGCCCAAAACTTATTTCTCTTGGCTTTGTGATCTGGCCTTACACTTGGCCAGATCTCCACCGTTGATGAAGATGTTTGGACTCCCTACCTTATAGTGTTTCTTGAAGCTTCATTCCTGAGTAACTGTTTAGTTTCTTTGATAGAGTTCTCTCTGTGTGATTATGGTTCATCTCTTTCTTTTAGCCGTTTTGTAAATCTGAGTGATTTCAGTATACTTCTTAGTGATAAGGCAGTGAGGGCAATTGACCTATTTTCTGTGAGATTGTATATATCTAAGTGATTTGAGGTTAGAACAAATTACATTGTAATCTGTTTCTTGGAGATTTTAGTGAACTAGAGTGTAATTTCATTGTGTGGATGCTCAGCGGGTGAGTAGACCGAAGGCTGAACATCCGGACCTTTTGGGTGAAAAATAGTTTGTGTTGTTCTTTACTTTTCGCGATTTACTATTTTAAATTGTGTTCTTTGTGAACTCTGGGACCAACAAGTTCAAGGATCAAGATTTCATACAAGAGTAAGGGTCCTCGAGCAGATAACCTGGGTTCAATAGAGGTTAATTTACAATTGTATTTTACATGAATTCAGTGAAGTGAATATGTATAGAGGAAGATGAATACTCTTAGCATGGTTTCATAAAAATACGTAGACGTGCTAAGCCTTCCACATAAGCTCCGACCAACCTCCGTCTCTTGCCAGGTGACTCTGCCCAACGGAACTCCAAATGGAACCACTTGGATTATAGGGAGTGGCCTTTGTTTGGTTTTTCTAAATATCAAATTTTAGTAGATTTTGATATAAGTCGATAAATATATCGTTAAAAAAGTGGATAAAAGTTGTAAATTTCATGAAATGTGTGGTGAAAATTAATTGATAACTTCGACTCATATTTTTATCAACTTTTGAGCAAATCCAAATGAAGGAATGATAATAATTATATACGATGAATTAAGTTAGAATCATGTTTGGAAGAACGTATACAACATACTCCTACACATTTTGTAGAAATCAATGGAAGGATTTATTCGAGAACGTGCGATGACGCGACTCTACATGTTTAGTGAGAATTATTTATTTATTTTTTTAATTATGTTGTGAATTAAACTTACTTCTTATATATGTTAATATGACAAAAGAGAAGTGCAAATACTTCAAAAATCTTGAGTTATCATCGAAATTGTAATCATCTCTGATAAACATATCCAATATGTAGCATTTACTAGAAAAAGGCATCACATTATCAATCGTTAAATTAATAACTTGCTCATTTATCGATAAATTAATAACCTTTATGAAGTAATAAATCTTCTCAATCCCAACATTATTTTACAGTGAGTTTAATGTATTTTTTCTTGTCCATTTTTTTTTTTAATTTTTATTTTTGTTTACTCTACGCTGTGCGTTTAGGTGATTTTTCTCCTCTTATCAGTTTTGGTAACGAGGGAAGGCCAGGGCTCTGTTTTGTTTCAATCCAAATGATCTGATAATTCTGTAACTTTCATGTGAGCTAGCTTTTCAACTGTCGCCACACGGGTCCCCCACACCCCACCGCCACCCCACGTGTAAAGATTTGAAAAGGTCCAGATATATGTAATTTAAATTCAAAATCAGACACCAACTCAAGTGACCTTGACACAACCAGGCATAATGTTGTACTTGTCCGTTTGATTATCTCTGTCTCAACATGGTTTTCAACGGATAGCCAACTCAAGAAACATAAATTAATTTCTGCAATTCAGTCACTTGAATTTCTAAAGAGTTTCTTGAAATTTTTAGAATAAATAGCTTTAAACACTTGCTACAATCCACCAATTTTGAGCTGAATAACTGTTTTATCTTTCGGGTCGAAATCAAACCATGAAAGATGAACAAGACAAGAAGAAAACCGATAAACAAATAAGACACGCCTCAATATTTCTTCACCATTGGACTTAACTAATTTGTTCGAACGATCAAATATGCCGATATCTCTTGCAAGATGGCAAAACACTGCTACCAGAGGTAAAGAAACGAGTCCCATACAGCAGCAATGGCAAAAAGAGTCGGCACGAAAATCTGCCCTTTGAAAGTAGATAGCAAACCCAGAGAACCACTCTTTTCCGGCAAAGATGATGGTGGAGGCGGTAGTTTTTCAACGTGAATTGCTACTTTCATGCCTCCATAGCAGAATCCTTTTCCGCTGATGAAATAATAATTTCTTGTAACATTGAGAGGAACCACGTCCCTTCCAGCACCGGTAGTCCAATTGTGAAGGGGGTGATCGGAATTGCAAGTCTCGTAATCTGTCTTGTTGACCTCAAGCACATTCATCTGGTTCCTATCATACACAAAGACTAGAACGAAAAGACGAGTTACTAGATGCTAAACACAATGTTCAAGCATATGTGCCTGGGAAGAAAATAAGTTCAAGAGTCTTCACAATCTGAACTAGCAGACATGGCCAAACGAGTCAAAAGAAAAACAAGACATATACAAGTAGTGCAAATTCATAATAAAGGAACAAAAGTAACATGAAGTGCCACAAGAAACACACATGTTAACAATGATTAGTGTTAGACTGTGGAGCCAATATTCATATGCATACATAAAGAATTTTCTTAGTGTGGATTTTTTCGAGAGACACGCACTAAAAGGTGTGACATCACCACTATAATTATCTTCTTCTTTATAGTGAAAACTTGTAGCGGGCAAATGTATATAGCTGTCAAATGTGTGTTTGAGTGCCTGTTTCTTTTCCCGTCTCTTCAATAATTAGATTGAGGCTTAATTCATAACAACTAGCACGCTTAGGTCAATGTTAGCTAGTCTTAATATTTTGCTAAAGATAATGTTATCTAACATCAGTGATATTAGAGTACAAGTCTACGTGACATTATTTGATAAATTCAATTAAGCTCCTATTTGGGGCACATTTTTAATCCAAAAAAATGAAAAATACAGTCGTTGGAAATGAAAAGGCAGCCACTTTTTTTGACGTTCATCTCATAGGTGGGACCCAAATTTGACAGCTAACAGTCATTTTTTTCTTCAAATGAACTGAAAATGTGCT